AACGAATCCACCTGATAGTAATTGAGAATCAAATGCAAAACTCGTTGTCACTTCTGTGGTTAAAGATGGAACCCCTCGTTTTCAGAAAAAAGTGTCTCCGGTTCTTTAAACTCACCGAAAAAACACAACTGTATAAAGCTGCTATTATCTGCTTGTATTCTGTCAGAGCGTGGCCCTTCCTCGGTCGAACTGACCCATTCGTGTTACAACCATTATATACCTGCAGCTTGGCTTTACAAATATATATATATATATATCTGCTTATAAATTTATAGAATTTAAAGAGTATAGTCTAAACTCTCGGACGTGTCGCATTCCGAGCCAACTTGACACATTCCACTCTCCCGTAGAGTTACTTCTCAAATAACGAACGTACGTTCCTTGGAGACAAACAATTTGAATGTCCTCACGTTGTGAAGGGGCATTCCTTTCGCAGCCCCTTGGAAAACTATGCGCTTAACGGATAAGGCCCGAACGGTATTATGGGTGACACCGTCATGAAATCACCTCCTCAGTAAGTTACGCTTGACATTTTCTTGGAAATATAATGGTTTGAGAGGCTCGTAGTATTGTTATCCTATGGGGTTATTATGCCGGGAATTGGGCGTCAAGTCGTTTGCTTAAATGGCTCGCAGGATTGCATTTGTTTCGTTGGTTGTATGTAGATTGTAAATATATATCATATTGCATTGCTAAGTTCAAAGACAATACATATGCAGTAAAATGTGCTGAAGCTAGTGAGACTTACCATTAACTTGATATTATCATTTATTGCAAATTAATATTATGCGTATTACATACATCACAATGAACATGAACTGGAGGTTGAATCCATTTTATACCTTTTTATGGTTTTATGAATTTGTTCTAATCATTATTCTGTACTTGTTAACATAGATTTCGTTTAGTTATTATTTTTACTCATTTTATTTAATTGTCTATGCTAACAAAAATATGTTTGACAACTCTGTCCGTGGCAACAATTCTGTAGCTGGTCATCGTGAGTCGGATGTGTTTTTGTTACCAAGAAGTGTATTAATGTTTCTTCATTTTGTTGTTTTAATTTCTTTTACGTTGTGTTATGTGTAACGAATTGTAAACGAACGTAACCCTTGATTTATAGACAAAAATATCTTCATCATCATCATCATCCCTTCACGAGACCACTGCTGAACATAGGCCTTTCCCAAGGCATGCCATAAAGCACAGTCCTGAGCCACATGTATCCATTCATTTCCTGCATATCTTACTAGGTCGTCACTCCATCTAGTTGGGACATATGATATCTTCATTATCCATTAACTAATGGGTAATTTTGTTAAATTTTTATACTTGTTTTTTTTTATATAGGAGAGGGGGCAAACGAGCATGCGGCTCACCTGATGGTAAGTGATTACCGCCGCCCATGAACAACTGCAACACCAGGGAGGGAATTGCAGATGCGTTGCCGGCCTTTTAAAAAGGAGTACGCTCTTTTCTTGAAGGTCCCTAAGTCGTATCGGTCCGGAAAAATCGCTGATGGTAATCGATTCCACAAGGAAATCGTACGAGGAAGAAAACATCTTATAAATCGCACAGTGGTGGACCGCCAATCATCCAGATGGTGTGGATGGTATCGGGAGTTCTGCCGCGATGTGCGTTCGTGAAATTTGGCGGCTGGGATTAATCTGAACAATTCCTCAGCGCACTCCCCGTGGTAGATTCGAAAGCAAAGGGATGCAACATCTCTTCGCAGTGCCAATGAATCGAGCCGATAGGAAAGGACTCGGTCGTCGACGATTCCAGCCGCTCTGAGCTGTATGCGGTCAAGTGGAAGGAGCTGGCAGTGGGGAGCCCCTGCCCAGAGATGGGAACAGTATTCCATGTGAGGCCGAACCTGCGCCTTGTAAAGTTGCAGGCGATGTGCCGGCATAAAATACTGTCCCGCTCTGCTGAGCACGCCAAGCTTTTTAGAGGCCAATTTGGCCTTTTATTCCAAGTGACCACGAAACTGCACGTCACTCGATATGTCGACTCCGAGGATTCCAATACTCGCTGAGGCAAGAAGGGGAGTGCCTTGAAACTGAGGAGATACGACAAAGGGGTTCTTTTTAGCGGTAAACGCGCAAACTTGTGTCTTCTGAGAATTAAACTGGACTAGAATTAGTCGCCCCCAATCCGAGACTTTGTTCAGCAAAGACTCGACTTCAGACACAAGTTTGATCCGGTGCTCGGCGACGTTTTCCCGAGAAATATTGGCACGGCCGGTGTATAGAGCATCACCAGTGCTGTCATCCGCATAGCAATGAATGTATGAATGTTACCAGATAGCAACATATCATTATTATGATTGTTTTAAAGGTTTTATTTCTTACAATAATTTGATCAATACGTGGTAGAGTCATGCTGCAGCTATATTAGTAGTACAGTTGTAGTATAAATGGGTCGGCTCAACCGGGGAAGGACCATGTTCTCACAGAATACCAGCGTAAAATAGCAGCTTGACGCTGTGTTTCCTATGGTGAGTTTAGAGAACTGGAGAGCCCTTTTACTGGAAATGAGACATTCCGTCTTAGTTCTCACGGGTGACGACGCAACTGCATTTTGATTCATAGTCGAGGATAAATGTGGATGTCTATGGGCCACAGTAACCACTTAACATCAGTTAGACTGTGTGCTTGTTTGTTTCACTTATCCTATAAAAAATACTTTAACATACTTAAAAATATACGTACTATTGTTTCTTACTTGCAGATAATATTAATTTTTAGCTCCTTCTCGTATTTGAACGATCATAGACCAAACTTCAAACGCTTTTTTTATAGAACGAGGGAGACGAACGCGGCACACAGTCCACGTGATGGTTGGACATTTACTCTCTATTAAGTATTAAAATGAAAAACATATGAAATCAATAGCGAAATCTCTGCGGATGATTTAAAATGTAATCCTGGCATTATCTTTTCTTTATTTTATGTATAAAATTCTGGTGTGCGTGTGTTCGTTTTTTTCTGCAATTTTTATGGAGTAATTATTCAGTCACTAGAATGGTCCTTATTATAGTTGGACTCGGTAGGTGGCACAGTTGTCAAGTTGCAGATCACTCGTGCAAAGCCGGACCAGATCGCTAGTATACGTAATAATCGTTGGTGCATCTGTTAGTGATCGTGTAACTTCTGAACGACTGGACAGCTAGATTTACTCAACTATATTAAAGTTACAGCTTCATTATTTAATAAAGTTTAAACTTTATTAAAAATAAAGAAACGATATCGCTTTGAAATAATATTTAAGACAGCCGTTAAATGCAGCGATAATTAAAAAAATCAGATTTAAAAATCAGTTCCTAAGAGCAGTTTATTTTAGTGTTAAATTAATTAAAACCGGCGCATTGAGACGATTGTGAAAATACTGAAAGCAGGATCCATTTGCACGCGGATACTCTATTTATGTTAAAGCATAAGCTATTTGTAGCTAAGCGCTTTAGCTTTTCAATGTGAATAAATTTATAATGATAAAAATCATTATTATTTAAGTATATTGATAAAATGTTTATATAAAAGTAATATTGACAAAAGCGTGTGCTTTTCATGAAACGCCCGATGTAAAACTGGCCTTAATTAGATTGTTCACGGGCACAAAGAAAGCTGTGTTGAGTCTAATCAGTAAATGAGTCAGACAGGTAAGAGTTAACGAGCGTTTAATTATTGCGCTATAATTAATGTCTGGGACGCTCTGGCCTATGAACGGATTTTTTGCTGCCTTTCTCTATTAGCTTGTTTTGTAATAAGAATTAAAACAAGGAATATTTTTTTATTTAACCTAGTATTTGTATAATGGAACATCTTTCACGAATATGTTATTATATACGAGTATACATAATTTAAAATTAATTTTTTTTACAGCCGACTTCAATATAAGTTATTTAAGAATAACCCAATAACCATTGGTCTGACCTTAATCAAATTCATATGGGATCACACGAGAACTATCAGCTTTCATATAAAAAAGAATCATCGAAATCGGTTCCCCCAGTACAAAGTTATGAGGTAACACACATAAAAAAAAACATACACTCGAATTGAGTACCGTCTCCTTGTTGGAAGTCGGCAGAAAATATATTCTTGCTATTGTGACTGGATTTCATAAAGATTATGGCTTCTTCTCATGGAACGTTAAATCTAAAGATTTCAAAGTAAAAAATATTTTAATTTAAGTTCTGTCTGTAAGTTCTCTTACCTGACTCTCCCGCTTAGCATTAAGGTCTCGGTTCGAAACGTGAATAAGCCAGACTGTGAGGCATTCCATCTTAGTTCATAAAGGAGACAGCGTAGTAGTCTTTTTTCTACAAGTTGGCTAATATTGTGCTATATATCTGTACGGTGTTGAGCCATATCGTTATAGCATATAAAAACCACTATGGAACAAAGACATGCCACATGAATTGCCTCATAGGGAGGATATTTGCCATTATTGCCACGCTTGGCAGGCGGGTTGGCAAATTCAGTTTTTAATTTTTTAGTTGTAACTAGGTAGAGCTTGCTGCTCATCTTCTAGCTTGTTTCCCTCTGTCACCTCTTATGACACCCACGGGACGATATGTGGTAGTGGATATTCTTACACCGCCACTACACGAACTGCTACACACTGCAGCTAAATTACGGTTGTGGCATGAATCGGCTTCCTGAGAAGAACCACGCTCACACTGAAAACCGGCGTAAGAAAGCAGGTTAATGCCGCTGTTTCGTATAGTAAGCGTAGAGATCCGGATATCCTTTTTACTGGAAACGAGGAATTTCATCATAGTCTTAAGGAGTGACAACGCATCTGCATTTTTATTCTTAATCGAAGATTGACGTATATGTCTTTGGGCTACAGCAACTACTTCTCATCAGGTTATTCTTTTGTCAACCTTATTCTATAAAAATATTAACAAAAGGTACATCCGCATGGTACTCTTATTTTTATGTGATAATTTTAAAGAAATTCTTATTATGTTAATTTAAAAAAATAACACTTACTGTGATCGTACGTGCGTGGATCTACAGTGGTAGTTGGTAATGATGTGGTAGGTTCATACTCGTCTACGTCGTAAGACTTAACGGTAGTTGTCGTTGTAGTGGTGCGTCGTCGATTACGTTGACGGCGGCCCTGCTTATTTCTTCTTGGCATTGGTGCTGTAGGCCGTATCGGCAAGTCCATTCTGTGGTCGGGCATCTGCACTACTGTTGTGGTGCCGCTGCCAGTGCCGGGCTCGGCAAAGACGAGCGCCACCAGTGATACGACCAGCAGTCGCATCACCAGTGGCGCTATACGCCACATGGTGCCTGTAAAGACAAAAAAAAACACATTATTAAGAATGAACGAAATCAATATTATGTTATCCAGACCGAATTTCGGTTACGACCGCCAGGCGAATAGCCATCTGCGCAGGACAGTATTACAATCACGAGTGTCTGTGCATTCTTTAGCATCTCACTCTCAAAGTCCGATGATAATGCGACACGGCAGACAAAAGACCAGGCGCCGGACCAACGAATTTAAGTGCTTTTCGAATCACAGTTGTGAAACACCGCCAACTTCCTGACTCTTGGGTGCTACTGAGAATTTCTTGAGAGAAAAACCTGATGATCAGATGTGAGGGTAGGCCTGTGCCAGGAAGGCAGTAGCCATAGCGTTTTTACCCGATACAAAATGTCAGAAATAACATAGAAACAAGGGCGAGTGGCCTGTGTTGGTAAACAAATCCGTAATTAAATGACTGGTCGGCTGATCGGCTGGTGGCTCGGGGTTGCTCTATGGGTCTATGGTCATATTGATAGTCATATGATATTATTTCCTCGTCTTACGTGTCAAAATATATTTCAAAATCCATTAAAATAAAATCGTTACAATATACGTATTTTCGGTAGTTCCCCCTAAAACACCAACAATTCTTAAAGAGGTTTGAAAAATTTTGCCAATATCATAAAACGAGTTTTCCTTTTTTTAACTGAATTACTATGAACATCACCCCAACCAACAACATCCAGAGGCGATGGTGTTTCACTATTTCACGATTTAAAAGCGGAAAATATGTTTGTCATGCTGTTATTTCTTTACACGATTTTTTTTTAAATAATCTTGTGTTTAAAATACAATAATATTATTCATCAATAGCTTATTTAACTGGTGCTAATATAACATTTTTTGTTTTATGTATCGATTTAAAACAGACAATGTTCCTCATAAAGAATTTCTCTCACGGCGGGCGGTCTCAACGGAGTAGTGCAAGTGTTTGTGCGCGCTTAATCACAAGTGCACTGTCTATTTCCTTAATTTCGTAGTCCAATGGGACGGAAATCCGACACGGCTGGAGGGAGATTAAGCGACGAACCCACGGCTTTACATACTTTCTAAGGCACGGGGGTGAAATAACGGCAATTTCTGGTTTCAGGGCTACTACTGAGAAACTCATTAACAGATCCTTGAACCGATCTGTGAATCGAACCCGGAACACCATGATCACCAGTCGCGTCTACGACCACTTTATCATAAAAGCAGTCATTTGAAATGTTTTAATAGGGATATTAGTCAATTTAGAGACTTTCGATTGCTGCAGTTATTTTATTTATTAGTCTTTTTAAAAACTTCACCCCCACAATAGGATTTTCTCCTGCGTCGTGGAGGCAGTTTACGAACATAAATTGCACGAGGACAAACATCCAGACCCGGAACAATTATTTGTTTTCCGTGCGGGATTCGAACCCGCGGCCCCCAGCGCAACAACTCATTGGTAAGCCACTGCGCCACGGAGCACGGAGTTACTTTACTGGTGTAAAACATTTATGCATGCAGCAAAGGAGTGGAATGATTTACCAGCCTCTGTCTTTTCATCTGTTTTAACGTGTGGGGTTACCTTCAATGCAAAAGTCAATAGGCTTCTTCGGCTTCAGTGGCATATAACATTGGTAATAAAATAGAGTGAAGACCTGGTGAGTATGAGATGCATGTGGTATGAGATCATGCCTAAAAAGTTTCTTGGTATAATCTATCTATTCTAATCTCTTTTTTTTTGTATATTTAGTATTCTACTTTGGTTCGTCTTTAAACATTCTGTATGCACAATTAATAATTCTTCATTAGAACATACATACTTATTTATTCGATAAAAGCATTTTTGTGTTGCGAATAAAGTTTGAAATAATCATCTTACTTTCCAAAGTATACGAGACCTCTATCATTGTCGAACGATAGACAGGGGACGGAATGACATCGGTACTATTCTGAAGAAATATAGTTTTTAGGTATTTTACTACATAGGTAAATTTCTAGGACAAGATTAAACATACTTGCATTTCGATAAACTTCTTGTGTGATAGTAGAAAAAAGTATGATATTCTTATTTTAAACATTACAAAGTTAATAAGCTTAATTTAGTAACGCAGTTTGAGTCTATCAATATTATAACATATTTAGTATCAATATATTTAGTAAAATTATAGTGACAAATCCAACTTTTTATAATATAACCATTATATTTTTTTAAACGCAAGTACTACAAGTACTATGCAGTATGCATCGAAAAGGTATTTAACGGAGTTAGTTCAAAATTGTTTTGTTATTCAGATAGTTTTTCAGGCAGGGCGGTGGCAGCGTGGAGTTTTCACAGCAAGCTCTCCTGCTTTTAACGTCGAAACAACGAGCAAAAACACAAGATAAATTACCTTGGTACATTGTCGAATCTTAACTCTCAAAAGCTGTGGAGAGTTATATTTATAAATTAATGTAAACGGGTGAATGCTTTCAGGGTAACAATTTAAATATATGTGGAAATATTTCAAGAATTTGAGACGAAACACTCACTTTAATAAATACCACTTTTTTATTTTAATTAACAAAACACTGGTCATCTTTCTATCTTGAGTACAATGACACTTATTATCTTTTGACATTTCTAAAACTGACATCTTACAATTTTAGTTTGACAGTTAAATAAATAAATCAGTAACCATAGAAGTCAGTAACTGAGATTTACAAACTAACTATAGCAATACTCAACAACAAACAACAAAAAACAAATAATAAAAGAAATCACTACTCATTACTAAATTATTCCACATATATTTTATAATGGTATTGGTTTTATGCGTTCAATAATATTTATCTTTGTCAACTAAAACCTTATCTGGGGTACAAAATAAAATAAATAGGTTGGTTGATTAAGGTAACAACACTAGGTATGAATGTGTAGAATGCTTGACCCAAATTATTAACAGTAATAAGACAATAAAATTTGTTTTATGGAAAAAATTTACCTCAACAACGACGCCGACATCTTTGATCGCTCACATCTATGTCTATAAACTTCAGGGCCTTTGCTTACTGCGAGCTAAATTTAACTTTGCCAAATAAAAATGGCGCGAAATAAAGAGAATTTGAATAACTTTAACAAATGATTCGCCGAATTCAGCAATTGATTTTTATAATACTTCATTCCTTTCATAAAGATAAGATCCTATTAGGTTTTTGAGTTCTCGAATAATAATATATTAAATGCGAGTTAATTGAATACATTTAACGTGTCACGATTACGCCAACTATAAACAAAGGTTTCTTGAAATAAGTGGCTAGTAAAAAATAAGTAATTGTGTATTTATGACGCCATCATGTCAAGAAACTGTAACAGTAGCCCCGTCAAGCAACAGTAGCCTAAGGGCTGGTGCGGACAGCGAACTCAAAAGGTCGTGAGTTCGAATCCGCCACTGTCGTGAACCACCCCTAACACAAGTATTTTAAGCTTATCAGAAGTAGTTAAAGGGAATATTGGTTATATTAATAGCATTGCATTAATAGCATTTTTTTAAATCATCTAATTTTCGTGCATATGTAATTTAGTATGATTAATGATTTCTTATATTTACGCGAACACTACACATTGAATAAAACTATTTTTACGGATATTATCGCGTTTAATTAAAAAGCTGAAGGTACTCCGGGTTAACTTTGACATCGGGACGTCAATCACCTCAGTCCCCCGTGACCACGGTTGCTGGAAAGCAACCGAAACGTCGGGAATATAAAATAAGTTAATTAAACGCGATAAAATCCGTAAAAATAGTTTTATTCAATGAGTATGATTAAGTTAAAAAAGTCTTTAATTATTAGCTTAAGTTGTTATTAAATATAATAGTTTTTAGAGTCAAAATTGGTGGACCATTTCATATAATATTCTCAACAATGTCAATCATTAATTTTAAAACATAACTGATTTATATTTTCCCATGTAATATTGGCATAATAGAATCCATGACCCCATATCATCCGGTGGCTACCGTAAGAAAGCAACGGAGGGAATAGAAACAGTAGATGAGCAGTAGTATATTTCTGATAACAAGCTTTTCCAAGGGTGGCAATTATTGCAAATATAATATATTAGGCAATTTATGGAGGAAGGAGCTATAATCTATGTAAAGCCGTGTTGATTAGTGAACTTTTGATGTACTGTAATGAATAAAAAAATGAATTAACTGAAGTTAAATGTAACGTAATGAAATGTAAATTATAGAGACATTTCATTAAAATATGATGGTTCATTAATAAGGGTTGAGCCATTTAAGATTTGCAATTTGAATCGGCTATAAAAAAAAATTAATGAATATTTTTTCAAAGTTATGAGTTTGTTAGAAAAATTGAAACGTGAAGGGCCACAACACTCAAATGACTGCCACGGCTAGCCTTACAATACCCCATTCGATCTGTCCAATTTTTCAGTTCATTTTCGATTGTTTGGGCCTCTATTTCGACCTGCATCGATTTCATGTTTCAAGTCGTCAATCGTCTCTGGATGGTTAGCGTAACACTTATCCGTAACGGGGAGCCACAAAAAAAATCCAACTAGACAGTCACTCGTTGTGAATGCATTGGTTTCTCCACGATGTTATACCAGATACGACAATTTTGCTTATTAACGTATCCTCGTAGAAATAGATTCTCCTGAAAAGATGATTTTTCGGCAAAAATGCTTCTTCGATCAAGTGGTTTTCGGTCCATTGAGCAAATCGAAAACGCATCAGGTGGTCATGCGCCTTGATTGAACTTTGTACGCATTCATACCGAGATCTCTATGCAAAATTCTTCTCAAAGAAGTGCGTGATATGATCAATTCTTGAGAACGAGTTGATGTTGATGGTTGTTCACGCACACTCTGAGCAACAGCAGCGATGTTTTCGTTTAAGCGCACTGAACGAATACGTACACGGAGGGGTTTATCCAACAATGATCTAGTTTGACGAACTCGCTTCACAAATTGAACCACAACCTGCGTTTTTGGGACCTCCTTT